TGATAAAAAATGCAATAATTTGAAATTTATTCAATAGATTTTTTGTAATTTGGTCATTTTAGTTGGTATAAATTCTAAAAAAAATTTGACAGAGTTTCCCCATACATATGATCAAAACCAATTTTTTTACTTGCATTTGCAATGAGAAACACATATTCTACAAGTCTAGTATACTAAAAACAATTATACCTTTTCAACCACAACTACAACCACAAAGTATATATGGCTATCACACACCGTTGTTTTAAATACCCATGATATTTAGTTAATAATAATTAACCTCCAAAGCAGTCCAAAACTTCATACCTTTTGAAGTATGATCACTAGAGGTCAAGCAAAATAAGAAAATATTTCGTAATAAAAGCTAAAGTTAACAATTTAAAGTACTAATAGAAATAAAACCAACCATGCAAAGTATGTAGATAATGTGCGTAGCAGAAAAATAAAAAACCTAAGGACCCTAATAGTCTGGATCAAAAGTAGGATGGTATGCATCCTCATCTTGAGGCGGAAATTGCCGCTGTTGCTGATATTCAGGGACCATAGGAGAGGTTTGTGTAGAATTAGTGGAGTAGGTGAAAGATGAATTCATGCGAAGACCTGAGCCAGGACCATGTGACGACTGTGGTGGGGCAACTAGATGATGACCTGCCTGAGGGGAGACGCCATGAGCAGCTAGAGCTACTGCAACAGATTGTGCGATTGTCTGGCTCATACTATTCTGAGCTTCTATCATATTGGCCAGCTGTTGTTGTATCAGAGCAATTTGTTGGCGTTGTCTTTCTAACTCCTCATGATCTTTTGCTCGTGTCTCCTCATAGTCAGACACCATTAGTGCTGTTATTAAGTTTTCTTGGGGTTGTCTCTTCCTGTAAGTAAAACCAACCATTTCTGGATTTACTTGGGAGCCAATCCTTGGCATGAAATTAGATGAGCAACCTCCAATAGCCTTAACCCATGCTTCGTTATCCATGCGTGGCCATGAACTAGCATCAGAGCCATGACTATCTGTGCACTCCGCAACATAAGTATCCTGAAAAAATAATAGTAATAGTAATAATGTTGTCAAAAGTAGTTTGAAAAGAATCTATAAAAAAAAAGTAGACTTTGCTAAATAATTTAGATTAATTACATAAATTTTTTTCACACTTATAACTATACATTTTATGCTAATTTATATGTTATATATACTTACATATTCATACTTTGCTTTTTCATTGATCCACACTGGCTCTTGATCCTTTCTCGCCTATTTTTTTGAAGGTGTTCGTTTCCTTGAATTTCTCCTGATGGGGAGGTTGCACACCACCTCTAGACTCAGTCTATATTTCAAAATATTGATAATGCAATATATTGGTTAGTATAAATTGACACAATTTATTGTTAAATAAAATCTAATATATTAAATTTTTTATTAATTAAGCTTGATTACCATCCGCATCTCATGGATGCCAAAGCTAATGGACCTAGTGGTGTGAGTCACCCTTTCCCCAGAGCTCCTATTCTTTGCTCCCCTTGCACTGAGCCTCTGATATTCATTAGAGTCCCAATATGTCAGCAGTTGAGGCCATATATGAGTTGGGATCCAACGTTGGACATAGGCTGAGTTCTTGTCCCATTTCAACTTCTCATCCCTGAGGTTGTCACTCCATCTATGTTTCATACAATTTAGGAATGTATCTCGCACATGACGATTATCTGCAGGATCCCACTGGTAAAGTGTCTGCAAAATAAGAAATAAATAACATTAGATGTTTGAGAAATGTAAATTGTAGTTTAGTAATGAAATTATTTATTTTTATTAGAAATTGCTAAATCCATTCATTTTATTAAATTTGCTAAAACTTAACCTTACCTTGAAACAATTATATATTTCAACAATCTTGCTTTGGGAGACACGCTCGTATGTGAAATACGGGCCATCAAAACATGACTTCCATAGTGAAGTGATAGCCCGAGGGATGTTTGGATCAGCAAACTGGAGCTTATCATTAGTGAGTTTAACCCATTTCTTGCTCTCTCTATTTTTTGGAGGGTGTATTCCTTTTAAATTCCTGCTTCGTCCTTTTTTCCCCATCAAGGATGAAGGGCCCTCGTTCTCATGATCAGGTGCAAAATTATAATCCATTAATGGATCAATCGTTTGCTGTATATCCGGAGCTACGCTACTATCAGTAAACAACTGTGGGTGATTAAAATTGTGTTGCTCTTATGATCCTGAGGAGGAAGATCTCCTCTTTGCTGAATCTGTAGGATTTCCAGACATCCTAAAAAATGAATAACAAAATAGTTATTAATCCATTTGTATAAATAATGAGTAAAAAATTTAGAACAATCATACAATGATTCTATTTTAAATGAAAAATATATAACTTGATAAAACAATATATGTAAGACAAAGAAATTTTAATACATATATTTAATAAGTAATAATACAAATGTTTCAATTAATCATAACTATCATCGCTATCATCACCATCCTCAACATTACCACTATTTCTTGAGGATTCTGAATCTTTTTCTTTTCCATAGTCCTCCTCTTATTCAGATGTATTAGCATCAACCTCAACTTTTATAACACCTTCTGTACATAGTTGAAGTGATTGATAGGCAGTTAAATCTATAGCTAATGAAGAGCCTTATATTATGGAGGGGTCATCATCTTGAAAAATATCATCAACCTCTCTTGAAGATGAGGTAGATGAGGTCTCAATTAAATGTCTAGATTTGATTTTACATGCTGCCAACCATCCCCAGGCAATTCTATCCGTGGCTGCCGGATATGGAGTATAATAAACTTGTTGTGCTTGACTAGCAAGGCAAAATGGCTCCCCCATTAAAAGTTTAAACCTTGGATTGACATCAACAATTTCGTGTTCAACATTGACATGTATTCCTCGGTTCGTGTCATACCAATCACAATTAAACAATATTATAGTCTCTTGATGGCCTGAGTGTCCATAATACAATAACTCGATCACCTTTTCTAAGACACCATAATAATTAGTTTCATCTGCAGAATTAATGGTGGTTCCTTTAACACAAACACCACAGTTATATGTCTTTCTAGTACTAGTAAACTCTTCAGTCAAAAATCTAAAGCCGTTCACATAGAACCCATTATAAACATTCACTTCAAAGATCAGGCCAACTACAAGGTGAATAAGTTGTTCATTGATTTCATATTATCCACTAAACACCTATATTTGAAAAAAAATTAATTTAGTAATATTTAATATGTAATTAAATATTTGAGAAAATAATATATAACAATTCATTACCATATTTTTAAACCATTGAACAAAATTATTTGTTTGCCATCTTTGTAGTTGTTCATGTGACAAATTTGCACCAACTTCTTCCTCAAATTTACTGTAAAATAACATTTATTTATTAATTAAAACGTTATGAAAATCATATAGGCTATTAAACATCATGTAGTTCTTATTTTCCTAAGAAGTAAAACTTACGTTACCCAAACATCAACCTCCTTGCAATTTAGCAAGACATATAATTCAGCTGCATCTTTCTCCTCCAATGCTAAACATCGTGTACGTGAGTGGGCCCCTATTGATTCACCAAGGGAACAAAATACGGATAACTTACCTGGGACGTGTTCCAATGCCACCATAGTTCCTTGGAGGCTGATTCCAGCTTATCTCAACATCATCCCCAAAATAACGAGAGCAAAAGTGGGATATCTCGTATAATATAAATGCCTCAACAATTGATGCCTTGACATGATTTTTATTCCCTATGGTACTCTTAAGTTTGCGCATGCGCCTGAAAAGAAATAGTGGTAAGATTAATTTACAAAAAAGTAATTAAAAGTAAGTTTTAAAATTATCAATTTCTTTATATGTTTTACCTTTCAAATTGGTACATCCAACGAAATTGAACAAGACCACCAACTCTAGCCTCATATCGAAGATGAATTGCTAGATGTTCCATAGAATCAAAAAATGCTGGGGGAAATATTATTTCTAACTTACAAATTATTTCAACAATCTTTGCCTCCCACTTCTACATCTCAGTAACTTTAATGACCGGGGAACAAAGTGAACGAAAGAAGTTATTAATGTCGGTCAAAGGACCCCAAAGAGCAGATGGCAATAAACCGCGAAAAGCAACTGGAATTAGTCGTTGCATGAAAACATAACAATCATGACTTTTCATCCCAAACAACCTGGACTCATTCAAGTTGACACATGTTGATATGTTGGAAGCAAACCCATCTGGAAAGTGCAACTATTTTAGCCATGCACATAGAAGCTTTTGTTTTTCAGATGTCAGTGCATAACTAGCATTAGGTTTCACAAGCTTACCATGCGTATTATATCCCATGTGCAGTTTTCTTCGGTCACAATAAATGGCTAAATCCAATCTTGCTTTCCCATTGTCTTGTCTTATTGTCATTCATAACAGTGTGTATTATAGTATCAAAGAAATTTTTCTCACAGTGCATTACATCAAGATTATGTCAAATAAGATTATCATGCCAATAAGGAAGTTCCCAAAAAATGCACCTTTTCACCCAATTATGGATGTTCCCAAAACCCTCAATTGTTTGGTTTTCAAAGGGTTTCCCAAACAACACATCAGGAAGGTTTTCAACTTGGTGACGCATTGAAACACCATCCAATCGAGGAAGGGGACTGCCTAATTCAACCCAACCCTTCAAGAAATTACTCTGATCAAATCTGAAAGAATGTGATTCCGGTAAAAACTAACGATGACAGTAAAAAACACATGGTTTTCGACCATTTTGAAGATAAAAAAATTGTGTCATCTCTATACAGTAAGGACATGACAATTGGCCATGAGTGCTCCAACCAGCCACCATACCATAACTTGAAAAATCAATTATGGTCCACATCAACATAGCCCGCATTATGGAGTTTTGCTTACGATAACTATCATCTATTTCTACACCAGCGACCATAACATTTTCAAGTCTTCAATTAAAGGTCAAAGGAAAACATTGATATTTTTGCTTGGGCTTTTTGGACCAACAATGATCAATGTAAGAAAAGTAAACTCTAGTCGCATGCACATCTCTGGTGGCAAATTATAAACAATTAACAAAACTGGCCAACAAGAGTAGGAGGTTGAAGAATGAGCCCATGGATTGAAACCATCAGTAGCAAGACCTCATCGAATATTACGAGGTTCTCTTTTAAAAGAAGGATGCATTTGATCAAAATGTTTCCATGCTTCTGCTTGTGCTGGATGAATGACCTCATCCGTATCACCACAACATTTCAAATGCCATGTCATGTGCTCAACTATTTTTCAAGACATGTATAGCCTCTGAAGGCGAGGTATTATTTGCAAGTACCAAAGAGAATTCCTCAGAATGTCCTTTTGTCTATTCCTCCTTGGATTTCTCTGTTTATACCTCGCTTCTCCACAAATTGAATATGTAGTCAATGTTTTTGTATGCTCCCCATAGTATAAAAACAGTTGTTAACACAAGCATCAATTTTTAGATAACCTAACCCAAGCCCCTTCATATATTTTTTTACTTCATAAAAGTTTGAAGGAACTTTTTCTTGATCTTCAGCACTTAACAACCTTCTACATCCTTTGAGAATGGCATTAAACCAATAGCAGTTATATTATTTGCAATCTTTGTATGCAACATATAAGAAAGCCAGTTAAGCACTATCTCATTTCTTTTAGCACTACCAAGTGGAATTGTAGATGCATGAAGCAAGTCATAAAATGCCTTTGCTTGATTGTTTGGTTCCTCGTCCAGATGTTGATTGGGGAAATTACCTTCCATTTCCCGATTATCATCATCCTCTAGACAAAATGCATCATACACCATTTCACGAAAGTCATTCCTTTCATCATGGTGTGTATCTTGGCTATGTGATGATTCTCCCAGATTAGTAGCAGACCATGGATCTGCTGAATTCACAAATGTCTCACCATGTGCCCACCAAACAGAATAACTATTCATAAAACCATACTTAGTAAGATGGTCTCATACCATTTCCTGAGTCATCAACGGTAAATTAAAACATTTAGTACAAGGACATCTGATTAAATCATTCGGTTGAAGACCAAGACTATTGTATGCAAATTGAAGGAAATATTCAAATCCACTATAGAACTCATTATATATCTCTCCTCGTGGAGTTCGACGTCTATACATCCAACTACGATCCTCCATAATCTTATTAAATCAATAAAATAAAATTAATAACATGATTAGTTTCAAAATAATTATGATATCTTTCAC